ACACACACACACACACACACACAAACTAAACATCCATGCCCTGAGTGGGATTCGAACCCACGATCCCGGTTTCCAGGCGAGCGAAGACAGTACATGCCTTAGACCGCTCGGCTACCGTGACCGGCAAAGTTTCATGTTACAGTGCCCATTTTTTCAGTATAGTAATGAATTTTCACAACAAAGGAAACATGCCAAGCCTAACATTGGAATCTTGGTTATCATTATTTCTCTTCACTTTTGCACCTCTTTACTTTCTCCTGTGTGTAATGTACACGAGAAAATATTGTGATGGTGAGAAGAACTGATATTGATGTATTTACATATTTTAAGCCCCTAAGCCCCTCTGATTACAAAAGAGTGGTTTTTGGTATGCTCTGTATATGTGTTTTGTGTGCTCTCCTTTACTGGTAGCACATGAAGAGTTGGATAAATGTTATTCGTCAAGAATTTATTGATCATAGGGCTGAGGATGTTTGAGAACAGGGTGTTGAGGAGAATATTTGGACCGAAGAGAGATGAAGTGACAGGAGGTTGGAGAAAACTGCATAATGAGGAGCTTCATAACTTGTACTCTTCTCCAAGTATAATTAGAATGATCAAGTCAAGGAGGGTGAGGTGGGCAGGTCATGTAGCCCGAATGGGGAGACGAATGCGTATAGGATATTGGTGGGAAAGCCAGAAAGAAAGAGACCACAGGGAAGACCAAGACATAGGTGGGTGGACAATATTAGAATGGATCGTAGAGAGATAGGATGGGATGGTATGGATTGGATAGATCTGGCTCATGATAGGGACCAGTGGAGGGCTCTTGTGAACACGGTGATGAACCTTCGGGTTCCATAAAATGCTGGGGAATTCTTGAGTTGCTGCAGAATTGGCAGCTCCTCAAGAAGGTCTCAGCTCCATGAGTAAGTAAGTATGTAAAGGCAATTCCTGGTGAATGTGAACATTCCAGCCCCAAAATTAAGAGCCCTTCAGATGGACCCCTGAAATTAAATGGGCTGTTTTCTGGGAAGTGGCTATGAAGATTTTGACTGAATTTCAGTAATCAGTGGTGACCGTCCATTCAAATAAAACTGCTTAGTGTTTGTTGTCTTCAGGAAAACAACAGCTCATGCACTAGGTGCCAAAATATGACTTCTTAATGATCTCAGAACTTGGTTCGCTGGTCAGGTGGAGTTCCTTGTTCGGCATTAAGCAACAGTAGTCAATTTCATTTCAAACGCAATATAATCAAGGTTGATCATATATGAGAAAGCATGTGCAGTGTCTTATCACAGATTGTTTATCTTACCGTATGTTTGAGAAGAGTTCCGTCTGACAACCTCAAGTCCTTCTTGTCATATTGTTTTAATTAATATCTTCTATTTTAAAATTAATTGCTGTTTATTTTAGTGTAGCAGGGAATGTGTGTTTATGTGTAGTATTTAGGTTCTTCTATTTTTATTTTCAAATGTATCAGGTGACAGTGTATAAAACTGTTGTCATTAATTTAATGGGAAAATTTGTTTTTGTTTGGTAATTTTCACTTTACTAAACAAAGAGTATGCTAGACAATCGGAGAACATTTGGAAGCAGTATGTTCCTCCGAAATGTCAGTACCCATGTACCAGACTAAATGGTCTCAAATCCCAGAGGACAGTACCCTTCATAGTCAGCACCATGTAAAAAGTAAAAAAAGTAAAGCTATCATGAAGGCCATGAAGGCCCATAGGGTTGTGAGACATTGAGGGTCCCACATTATCTAGACAATTGGCTCAAAGATGGCGGTAAGGTCAGCCTTACGCGCCGGCCGCGCTTTACTCCCCAGCAAAATTATTTATTTTAATTCCTGGTACTCATTTCTGTTAGAGGCTGAGTGAACTCCAGGGCCATAGTGTGGCTGGAAGGATTAGGTCGATTGAAAAAATCCAGTGACCTCATTGGTATTTGAACCCGCGACTTTCCGACTTGTAGCATAGTGCCTTAACCACTATGGAGGAAATTAGTTTTTGTGTGATGAATTTTAACTTAACGAGATGAGGAGTGAGCTGGCCAAACGGAAAGCTGTTCGAAGCAGTTTATTCGTTCGAAACGTTGGTACCTGTCTGCCATGCTCCATGACATCACATCCCAGATCACAAGTACCCTTCATAGGCAGCACCATGGGAAACTAAAATCTTGGACCAAGTGTGTTGTCTGAGATTGTCTGTTCTCTGTTTGGTGCAGGGTAGTGCTCCAGAGCAGCAAGAGAAATGCAAGAAAGCGTCCAACTTCTGTTATGCTCTGTGGAAAGAGGAAGCTAATGGCACCAGCATCTTGGGGCAGGGTGAGTACAACACTGACCTTTGTTCTCTGTGGTTGGCTGGTTTATGTCTTACATCTGCATGACAGCACTTCCGGGGTTTGGTACAAAAAGTAGTGTAGCGTCAAACATGAACTTTTCTGTAATGTGTGCTGTCTTAGTATTTAGAAAGTAACTTATCCTGAAGATTGGGTGGTGGGACTACTTACAGGACACCGTCACCTTAAAGGACACCTCTTCAAACTGGGACTAAGTAATAGTCCCACTTGTGAGAGGTGTCAAGAAAATGAAACAGCCAGACATATTCTGTGTGAATGTGAGGCCTTAGCTTATTTAAGATTATGTCACTTGGGTCAATACTTTATGGAACCAAGTGACTATTTTGACGCCCCCAGCTACAAAATCATGTGCTTCATTCGAAGCACAGGATTGCTGAGGGGATAATCAAAAGGGGAAGCACAGTAGATCACTGTAGGTTGCGGTGCAAGGGCTAAGAAGGCCCACCCCTTATACATTCATTAATTCATTCATTCATACCCTGAAGATGGAAGCAAGGGACTAATTTGATGTGATGCTAATGGTAATGTAGTAGTTACTGCTGTGAGAGCCTCTGATCTTGCGCAATAATTATTATGATGTAATTGTAGGAAGACATTGTGCTTGTATGTCAGTCTGCAATTTGAAAAATTGATGTAAATGCAGTGGCTTGCATAGGTGTGTTATACTGGCAGTGACAATGGTGTTGCACCGAAACATGCAGAGTGTATGGTTTATGAAAATTATAATGCCGGATCTGATTGTAATAAGAAATATGGAATTGGTACAGCAGTATGGCGGTATAGCTCAGTCAGTATAGCAACTGGCTACGGGCTGGATGAATGAGGGGTAGGAGTTCGAGTCCCATATGGTGAAGAATTTTCTCTCCTCCATGTCGCCCACACTGGCTCTGGGGTACAACCAACCTCCTATACAACGGGTACTGGGGGGCTCTTTCCCGCGGGTAAAGCGGCTGGGTCGTGAAGCTGGCAGCTCACCTCCAACTAGTGCCAAGGTGCCAAGTGGATCTATACATCCACTCCCCCACACACTGCCTTCGTAGCATAGTGCTTAATTCGTAAACACAGAGACAACTTTACAGCAGTATGGAATCTGCTATTAACAGTTGCAGTATAACCATTACATGATATCGAGCGAAGTAATTTTGAAGAAATAGGTTGACTGAGTAGTTTAAAGTTCATAAATTACAAAAGAAAGAGTTATTGTGATCTTATGGGGTGTATTTCGTAATAGACTGACAAGTTCTGCAAAGTACGTAAAATTTGGGAGGAGACTGCTGTTGCCGTGTTTTGGATACACATTCTCGCACCCTGAAGATGGAGGCAGTAGGTTCCTCTGAAATACTGGTTAACAGTCTACCAGACTACATGGTGTCACATTCCAGAACACCATATTCTTAATATTCATTGATGTGAGAAACTTAAATTTCAGTACCTCCAACTTTTTGAGGCTTTATTCAAAAATAAAAATGACAGGAAGTTCACAAATCGCTCTTCTAGTGCTTGTAACAGGAGACTAAAATGGACAGGTTTGATGCAGCAGTATCATTCAAGACTTGCATTTGGAAGGTACTAAGTTCAAATCTCTGCAGAGTTGCTGGTTATCTTGACTGAGTTTTTTTTTTTGTGATTTTCCTCAGTCCCTTCAGGAAACCGCAATGATGACTTCCTTCCAAATCCTTTGCTGTTCAGCAGTAATCCTACCATTCTATACCATAACTCTGTACTTAAAGCATCCATTTGGAGATTCTGGGTTCGAATCTCAGCTGGCAAACAATCCATTCTGACAAGAGTTTTAGTGGCTTCGCTCGCTCCCAACAGGTGCATACCAGGATAGTACACTGATTAGGCCACTTCCACTTCCTTCGAAATCCCCTCTAGTTAGTCATTCATTAGTCACTAGTTAGTCATCCTGCTATCACATGCTGTGTAATCTAGATACTACAAGCAGCACCCACATAGCCGCACCAAGAAAGTAAGAGATTTGAAATAAGTTTATTAGAATTCTTCTGGTGACTTGGGTCACTTGTGCATCCAAGCGTGACTGTGTGTCTGGTCATGAAAGTTTTTGTGTCTGAACAAGGAGCAAGCTCTGTACTGGAGTTGACATGAACCCTGGAGAATAAAAGTCTTTGTAGTTCCTGTGCTCTGGGATGTCTCCACTTGCCTCTTTGTGCAGGGCACTCACATTAAGTAGTGTTATCAGTGGACACTGTTTTTTTGGGGTGGATTTTGAGTAATAATTTGTGAGTAGTATCCCTATGAATGTTATACAGGAAGTCTTCAAGTTTTAAACAAATCATGTTCCAGTGTTAGTAAGTCATTTATTGGTTACTGGTTCCAAAACAGACCCAAGATAGCCCAAAATGTTACATACTAGCATTAAGGTAAACTAGAAAAGGAAACAACAGGGTACTGATAACTGTCTCTTTCATTATTTGCGCTAATGTTGGTTTTCAATTTGAATATGGCGTTTCTGTGGTCTAGTGGTCAGAGTTCCTGGCTACAGATCTAGAGGTCCCGGGTTTGATTCCCGGCGCTACCAGATTTTCTGAGTAGTAGTGGGTCTCGAACGGGATCCACTCAGCCTCGTGAGGTTAATTGAGGATCTATTTCAAGGAAATAGAAAACCGAAATTAACGGCCATGGGAATGCATTGTGCTGACCACGTGACACCCTCTATCCACTAAAGTTGGCACTAACTTTGCCGACAAACAGCGGCCCCTCTGTCAGTATAGTTCATTTGTAAACTGCAGGCCAGGGAGTGTTTCTCGAGTATAAACAGCTTTAGTTATGGGAGGATATTATCTGAATATGCATATTCTACAGGGTGATTTGTAAATAGTCTTCCAAGCTTCAGAGTACACGATCAAGTGATCCTGAGTAAAGGAAAATCCTGTTAACATGGGTCTAATTTGGATATCTTAAGGAGCCATATCAGTATTAAAGTGTGACTGAAAGCATGCCAGAAATAACAGTGTTGTTTCATAATGAAACATTCTATAAAAATTGTTTCAAAGTGTCACCCTCTTATTTGAATGAGCCAGATGATTCCAGTCTTGTGAAAACAGTTTGTATCTAGAGTTCCTGAGATTGTATGCCACCATCATCAGGGATTAATTTGATGTGTGATGTAGGTGTACTATTTTTATACACAGTTTCTTTTGGAACCCAGGCTGTGGTATTTCATATGCTCTGAAAATATGTAAAGGGGGGGAATATCTGCAACTGTAAGGAAAAAATGTATTAAGTGTAGAGAGAAGAATATTTCATAACTCTTTAAAGCACAGTGGTTACTGTCTGAACCTCCTGCTTTAACATAAAAGGAACTCAATATGTTGGTTTCATGTGATTCTTAAAATAAACTGTGTTTATTACCCAGAATCGTGGGTCATAACCCCCCCCCCCTGCAGGGGGTTACAGCGTTTTCAAGTTCTCGAGAATTATGTAGAATGTAGTTGTGTCCAGACACAGTGCGCGGAGTCAGTAAGATTTAATGTAGGTGCTCTTAGGAAATGTACTTGATGCAGTCAAAACATATTGTGAATTCTTGCGTGACTACAGAAACACTTTATAGTTTACTGTAGGTGTAGGGAAGTTGTGAAGCTGTTAGGTTCCTGCCTTAGGTGTCACCGCTGCAATATTCCTGCGTCTTTGTAGTGGATATGCAGCTTGTTTTCTGTGAGGTACAAACTGAACTTATAAATACCATTTAAATGAGTGTTAGCCTTCATAGGATTAGTGAGAAACATACTTTTTCCCTGTTCTACTGAGCTTCACCAGATATTTGTACAGTTGGTATGGTGGAACATGTAGCACACGTGAGAGAGAAGAGAAATGCATGCAGAATTTTGGTAGGAAACCATGAAGGAAAGAGACTACCTGTAAGACTTAAGTGTAGATTGGAAGATAATATTAAAATGGGTCTTCATGGAATGGGAGGGTATGGACTGGATTATTCTGGCTTAGGGTAGGGACAGGGTGGGGCTGTTGTTAACATCTTCAGGTTCCATAAAATACTGGGAGTTTCTTGGGTAGCTAAGCGACCGTTAGCTTTCCAAATAGGACTGCACTCCAGTGGAGTTTGTTGGTCATAATGAGTTGTGATGGTAGCTTGTAAGATAAAGCAATAGTATGAGTTGGGCAGTCACACAGTTTGTTAAATTTATGGTCATGTTTTCAGTCTGCAAGGAAGATGTGCCCAATGAAAGGGGCCCATGTGGGCACTGACTTGAAGTTATGGCACACTTCCTGGAATGTTGGTTGCATCATACATCGCTGTACATGTTTTTATTGAAGACATTACTGATTTCCTTTCTCAAAAGGAAAAAAAAAAGGTTGAGTGTTGATAAACATGTGGTGGGACAAGAACTGTGGTGCTGGTATTGGCATTTGTGGGAGTATCAAGTAGCTCAGAAGAAGAGTGACTTAAAGACCAACTCACCTGTCAAAAGCACACAATTTGAAGTTGTAAGAGTAAAGCTTCAGCTTTTGGGACTACGCTTGCATCGAATGTGGAGGGTATTCCAGCGTTTCAACAGACCTTGCAGTTGCTTTCTTCAGGGTGTGAGCACTGGAACAAAAAATCAATGAAGATAAGACTCCAGGCCATCTATTTTTCTCATAGACTTATACCTCCTGAGACTCATCTTACATTGAGTGGATGTAATATCCGTTTTGTCACTCATGTAAAATATCTCTCTGTAAAAGTAAAAAAGTAAAGCTATCCCTGTAACAGACCGTGAAGGCCCATAGGGTTGTGAGACGTTGAGGGTCCCACATTATCTAGACAATCGGCTGAAAGATGGCAGTAAGGTTGTCTCAGCCTTATGCGTCGGCCGTGCTTTACTCCCCAGGAAAATTATTTACTTAATTCCTGGTACTCATTTCTGTTAGAGGCTGAGTCGACCTCAGGTCCATGGTGCGGCTGGAAGCATTAGGTCAATTGAAAAAATAACCAGTGACTTG